CCCTAAACCCTAAACCCTCTACATGTTCGATGCCCTGAGATCCTGACCCCATGATGGCGAGTCGGCGGCAGTGTCCACTGGGTCCACTGGCAAAGTACACAGAGAGCCCGAGAAGGCATCCCAAGCGCCCTTACTTCAGGAATCCTTGTTTACGCCCAGACAGGCACACACACACACACATGCAGACACACACACACACAAACCACGACTAACAAAAACCAAAAGAATGGACCCTGGAAATCCTGGGGCCTAAAACAGAAGAGTGTAAAATACGAATGCATGATGCTCCAGCATAAGTGGGCTATGCGAAATGTCGGGTCTTGGATAGCCAAGATTTCGCCCCAAAACCCCAGACCCATGAATCCAGAAGCCCATGCTTCCCAAAAGTGAGCTCAACCCTAAACCCTAAACCCCTAAAACCCTAAACCCTAAACCCTAAGCCCTAAACCATAAACCGTGAGCTCTAGCTGGACTTGTTTCGGCTCTTGAGTTGGGGGTTCGGCAGGGTGGTCGGTGTCGGTGATGTTGGGGGCAACTCGGGTTTCGTGGCGTATCCTCGGAGGGTTTAGGCTTCGAGATGTCGGCCTCTGGCGCTACATGGCGCTGCGCTTTTCTTAGGGTTTAGGGCTTAGGGTTCAGAGTTTAGGGTCTAGGGTTTAGGGTTTAGCGGATTGGTTTTCACGGAAGGTCGCAAGTCAGGCTGTCCTTTGTCGGTTGTTGGCCTTTTGGAGCTTGCAAGGGCCATTTCTGCGGAGAAGGTTCTCGAATCTCAGATTCACGGCATCCAACCTTTCACTCAAGACCAAATACCTCCCTGAGTGGTATTCTAACCTAAACCCTCAACGTCAAGCCCTGCACACAAAAGAAGCCGTAACCCGTCCTTTATGTAGGTTCATCAGGGAGAGTGTATGGTTATTGGGCACTTGGACCCATAGCGTTTGGTGTTGCACTTGGGGTTACCATCGAGTCATAAGCGTGGCGGCTCTTCGTCCTGGGCTCAATGTGGCCGTGGCCGCGCCCACCTTCGAACCCTTCCCAAACTAGGATTTGGATGGGGCTCCTGATTACTCCCAAGATATGGGAGTTTGAGGAAACAGGCGATGCCAGTACAGAACCTAAACGGTCGTAGCTTTGGGAACTGGTTGAGAGATTCGGGCTTCCCAAACGAATCTTCGAACATTCGGTGAGCGCCAACGTACCGTTTGGGATCGAGGATTTTGCGTGTGGCCCCCGGGCCTGAAAGCTTCAGGAACCAAGAACTCGAGGATGCCCGAAAGCCTTCAAAAGCGCTGCAATGCCGTGCACAAATTCACCACCGAATTCCCGCGAGTGCCATACGCAAGCTATAGTTTTAAGCCAGCCCATCACACCTCGAAGGCAAAACCCGAAGCTGCAACAAGTGCAGTAATGCGTCTTGATCTTGTGGGGGTTGTCGCCTTTTAAAGATGTTCGCACTAGCACAGAACCCCAACTCCCAAACCCGCGAAAGATCCTTGTCCCAGTCAGCCGGCTTCTTGCGCCTTCTGCTTGGCCTGCTTGGTGGGCTTCGACGGCTTTGAGTCCTTCGCTCAGGCATGAAACAAAGCATTTTGCACCAAGTTTTGATGCTGTGACCCGGTCCTGACCCTCGTTGGCATCGTCACTCAAATCGGTCACAGGAGGAGGTCTGTCCATGGCTTCAGATGCACGGCAGGGTCGGGCACCCGCCCTTTTAGCAGTGCAATGAGCTCCCATGTGTATGTGCAGAGGCGACAGAGATCAGCCGGCACATTCTGAATGCAACAGAACTCTACCACGGTATCTGACTTTGACTCTGTCATCTCAGCACTCAAGGAGAAAATCCGAACTGCCTGCGAGATGTGCTCAAGCTTGGAAAGATGAGCCCGCATCGGACCCAAGGTTTTTAGGACCTCTGGGGGGTTAGGGTTTACGGTTTAGGGTCCTGCCCTACCAGCTTCAAATCCTAGACCAACGCCCTGGCTCTACGATCAAGGAACATGTCAAGTACACCTTGGCCTTCACAGGTACCAGCCTCGATCCCTGCAGCACCACCTCAGCTTGTACGCTCAACCCCTACAACCCCCAAACTCTCAACTCAAAGACCCCTGCGGGATGTAGGAGTTTAGGACTTCGTGTTTTCTCGGATTCGTCGGCTTTGAAGTTTAGGTTTTCGGTTGTAAAGCGTCACAGCTTTCAAGTCCAGGGTTTAGGGCTTCAGGTCGAGGCAAAGGGCTTTGGGACTAAGAGTATGGGCTGTAATTCAGGGTTCGTCTGCCCTAACCTATAGGGTTTTGGTAGTGTCTGCCCCGTGAAGGAGCCTCAAAGGTTCAACCTAACACCTAAAGCAAAGCATCCTATACCCTAAACTGCCTTAACCTTATAATCCCTTCTGCCTCATACTGAGACCTCTGCAAACTGCCTTTCTCAGCGAGGTGCCAGAAAGCTCTCCCGAGCCGGCTTTGTGCGTCGGGCTCACATCCAGAGACCCAAGCTTGTCTTAACAGAAACGCTTGGAATGCTCATCGCACGACTACAAGCAGTATCTGTATGACGTCCCTGCTGCTTTGAACAGTGATCTGACTTGTGGCCCAGAATCAATAAGGCATTGCATATAGTCGGAGGTCTTGAAGCCGACGGGTCCAGGCGTTGAGGATCTCGTCAGCGACGCGTTCCGCATCGCTCATATCCTTGTCCACGATGCGCATCATATCCCTTCGCAAAACTACGTGGTTCTGACATCGACCTTCGAAATCTGGTGGGCGAGGAGGGAAAGTGTCGCAGAGCTGGATGGGGATGATGTCGAGGTTGTTGTCATGGGCATAGCGAAGTTCCACGTATGTTTCATACCGGGCTCCTGCTTGCATGAGGCTTGGGGCCCTAAGAACTTCATCATGCCATGCTCCGTTTTTTTGGGGGGGACACGCAACTCTCAAAAGTCTTGAGAAAGGAAACGGCGAAGATGTCACGTGAAAAATCTCCTGTGCGCTGCCCGTAGTCCGTGCCGCAGAAGGCGAGCAACGCCTTGGCCATGTAGAGGCCTTCCAGAGTTTGGGTGCCAAAGGCATCCCCGGCTCCCTGGGTCTCAACCATGAAGATGGGGACTCCCTTCTGAGTCAAGATGTCCCGAACGCTTCTGATGTAGGCCACCATGTTGTCGTCGTTGAAACGCCCGGAGACCATGAGATGGGTCCTCTCGTCCTGGCAAGTGCAAGGAGCCGTGTACGTTGGGCGATCTTGGGATTGCTGTCTATAGATTTATAAGTAGAAGGAAACGATCAGCAGACCCTGACAATTCGGGCAGTTCGGATGCACTCTGGCAGGGAGGCTTTCGTGGGTGCTACACTGCAGCAGCAGTAGCATGTGCGCTCTAAGCAGGTCACAACAGATTAAAGCAACTACGACACTGTCACTGCCACCTGACCTACGAAAAGACAACCTGCACAGTGGAAGACTTTCTACACATCTCTTCTGGCACGCGGCCTCTGGGAACTCCGCAACAGGAGCTGCCAGAGGAGGCGGCGGCTGAGGCTGTGCCGGCGCTGGCTCATCTTCAGATGGAGGTGGCAGAGGTGCCAGAAGTGGCGGAGGCGGGGGCTGGTAGTCTTCGGTTTCAGGCAGAGGTGGAGGAGGAGGAGGCAAATATGGAAGCACCTGGCCGGGAATCAGGTAGCGTGCCATCGGGGGCACGGAAAAACGTGCTCAACTGCCGACTCGCCACTTTGTGCAGAGTCGCGGACAAATTCTTCATGCTGCCCAACCTCTTACTTCCTGTGTCCCTGCGCGTTGCCTGGACAAGCAGCGGGGTGTATCTCTCCACACCAGCAATTGCTTCAGCCTCGGCTTTGTGAATTGTGAATTCGTTTTGCAGAAACTCAAGCTCTGGTTCCTCGGAAGCTTCTCTGCATGCACCCTGCCCCAAAAAAACCGAGCATCCCGTCCCAAGCTCCAACGAGCCCTGTTACAGATGATCCATCATGATCCTAGACTACTGCTGGCCCAGAGGCCACCTCTTGAAGTGCCACATCTGAAACGCTACCGCGAGGAAAGTCTTGTGGGCGGACCGGACCTTCGCAACTGAAGCGCACCCCGCGGGCTTTAGAGAAAGCGCGCGAGAGCATGAATGCCTGGTGTCATCATCATGCGTACCGGTACTTCACATGTAAGCTCGACAGACATGACATACTAAACACGAAGACATACTTTCCTCCCCCCCCCCATGTCATGCCCAAAAAAACAGACGCCGCCCTCCACCTCCGGCGATGAAGGTGTTCTCCTCCGTGCTGTAAACCTGCTAAAAAACCACCCCGAATTTATCCTCAAGTCGTTCCATTACATGCAGGATGAGTAAACCCCGAACACCCGAAGGAGCTCCGGCAGGGTCCGCGGCCTCGATGTGGAGGCCTTCTGGAGGCACATCCAGAGACCTGAGCCACGTGGAGAAGACAAAGGCTGCGAGACGGTTCGGCTCAAGACTCAGTCTTGGAAGGCGAACCTTCCGCTGAAAACGGATAATTACAGTGCGAAAAGGAGCCTCTGATATTCTCAGACAGCAAGAAAACCGAGATGCGCTTTCGACGAGGGGCCAGACATCTTCTGCTGGTGGCCACGGAGGAGGCGGCGGCGACGCACTCGTCTCATCGTGCACGACACCAGCAACCATCCAGGAGAAGTGTTCTAGCCGAAATCCGAGAAGGTATGTCTTGCCATCGTCCGGTGCATCGTCCGATGAAGACTGATCTGCTGACTCTACTTGCTCTGGTGCGGGGACCCGCCGGACCCGCTCGTACTCTTCGATCACCTCAGGCGTAAGGAGCTCCCATTCCCCATGGGGCTTCGAGCGCCACGCTTTGACAGCCTCGACCCCGATCTCGCCTGTACTGATGGGTAGTAACAGCAACACGGGGTTCTGGAAGCGCCCGTGTGGCAACAGCCTCAAGACGGGGCTCAATGGCGTCACGCCTGCCGGCAGCTTGGGAGAAGTCTTTGCGTCCACGATTTCGAAGTGGGCTTGTGAGAGCCTTTTGGACTTCATCAGGATCCCGTTTTGGATATGGACCATGTCACCGGCCCCGATGGACACGACTACTTTCTTCGAGGCTTCAGAGCTGCGCTGCTCCGCTCCTGCAGGCGAGGGCAAGAACGGATTGGAGACGAGGCACCCTCCAACCTTAATGATGCCTTAGTGCAAAACCTCTCTGCGTTAGTCAACAGCCGAACGCGGAGCTGGGCAGCACCCCGAATACTGGAAGCCCGAACTCCGAAAGCACGACGTATGCAGAGGTCTGCAATAAAGGTTGGCTTCGATCGTCCCTACCCTGTCAATGCCCTCACTCCGCCTCTGTGCTCAAGGGTTTTATACACTGTCTCAGCGGGCCCTGCCTGGCTGACGACAGGTTCCGTACAGTATTTCCGCAGCCAAGGCTGTGAGGTGATTCTCCCAGCCGTATTGGTGCTCAAGGAGTTCCACACCTCGCTTCAGGAGGCTGATTTGTTCACTACTTTCCAGGAGCGTCTGTTGGTTAAATCTCGTGGCCAAGATTTTGATGCCATTCGCAACGTCTCTCCACCCACCGCACTGCTCCTGGATTTGGACGAAGCGCTCCAGCATAACCTGCGTGTCCTCGTCCCCGAGCAGTCGATGGCAGACCGCGAGTGTTAGCAAAAAACCTGGTAGATCTCGCTGGCACACGCGGCGCACGGGTGTCGAGTCCGTCGGTTCGAGGGTAGCCAGCGACCCTTGTAGTGACAAGCACTTCTCTAGCAGCGAAACCATCTTCCCGGAAAGCGCGTGTGCAAGACTGACACGATCAGAACTACGTGCAGGACGGGCTATCTCCAGGAAGCGATCGAAAGACTCCGTCATCGTCTCGAAATCTTGCAACTCTGCAGTGACAATCCCAAGCTTGAGTAGGGTAGGCATGACTCGCCAGTTTCTTCCTCCCCACTGCTCCTGCCGCAGCGTCAGGAGTCGCTGCAACCTGTGCCTCCTCTTCACGGGGTTCTCGGCCTCGGGGAGCCGCCAGAGAGCGCAGTTTTGACGAGAAGTTCAAGTTAAGCACCCTTTAATTAAGATAAGGGCCCCACTGTCACGCTACCCACATCATCCCACATCGCTCATGCATGCGCAAGTGTGCCGGGGCATGCCTAAGGTTTGCACCCACGGCAACGAGACCAGGAAAACGTCTGCACCGTCCAAGCCTGCGCTCCAAGACGTTCAGCTTCACATGTGTCCGATATGTCTCGTTTTTCCCGTGCCTTTCCTTTGTATGGCCATTACGTTCCAAGGATTTCCGGAGAATGGCCTGATTGTTCCCTGTTGGACTTGCCTTTCATATGGTTCTCCATTCCGTTTGTTGACAATTACTATTGTTTTCCAAGTGTCCTATCTTCCACTGTAATATTCCACGTTGAGATCGACACAAGGCTTGCCTTCAGCGAGGTTTTCTCACTGTGCGCGAGCACCAGTGTAAGCAAACCCGACCCTGCCTTTGAAGCGCAGATCTCTTTGATCGTAAGCACGTGTCTCCTCGTCCAGCTCCTATTTGGGTACACTGACAGAGGCTGGGAGCTCATCGATGTCTGTGAGTCAGAGCACGGGCTTCTAAGATGCAGGCTGCAATGGACTCGAAGTGGCAACCGCCGGTGCTTCTTCTCAATCCCATCCTAGTTCGTGCGCTGTGGCTAAGCCCAGAGCCTGCCTCGGAATCGAGAAGGAGACGTCCGTCCTCCAGCCCTCGGCAGCTTAGCTCCCAGAATTCTTGGCTCGGAAACTACGGCTCTTTACAGAGGTCTGAGAAGATCTGCGAAAATGCCATGAATCTAACCGGGTCTTCTTTGGACGCCATCCGTCCGTAGGGCCCCAGCCAGACCAGTACAAGGCTTCATCCAGCACCTTGATGATCGGATGTCTGTCCGACGAAAACAGCTCCACCTGCAGCTTCACAACACATGGCCACCGAAGGGACTAAACAGGACTTCCAGAGAAACTCTTTCAGCCCTCGCAGTTTAAGGCTCCAGAAGCGAGGCTCTGCGAGCAAGCCGAGCCTTCACAATCTCCTCGCCGCTTCCACTGTGTCGTACTGTCAGTGTCACGGAAGCCTTCAAGGTGCGGAAGCTGCGAGTCTGAGGTGGCGGAACGTTATTTCATGTCTGAAACGCATAACAGCGCCAAAGGCGTCGCGACGGGATGTCTTACCGCGATGGGTAGCTTTCTCGGGCTTCTTCGAAACCGGCAACATGACCCACTCTCTTGAAACCGACCCACTCTCGCTCGTGTCATGAAGTCATGTAGATCCAGCTAATTATGCGGGATTCCTGAAGACCCTACGCATGGCATGCAATACTTGCATTTGACCAGAAGTTCGGGTCTGCTAATGTGGACCCTCAGCGCGTCGTGGGCGAACCTCGAGGAGCTCCGATTTCCCATCAGTTGCTTCACTTCAAACCGTCCCAAACCAAATTCTGCAGCATAACATCCCGAACCGCTCTGTTGCTTCTTTGGGCCGCAGCGGGGAGCCGTCAGAGTTGACTCCACACCCTTGCAGTGAGTTTCTGTGGGCGTGGCAGAATCATGGAGACTTTTGGCGTTGACGAACGCAAGGAATGAAATCTGAAGAAGGCATGATGGCACATGCTCGGGGGTAGTGGCCTTCCCTGTCAGATGCATGTCTGTAGAAGCAGCTGATGCCGAGATCAAGCCATTGCTCGACGTCTGATGATTGATGTGCGGCACAAGCTCTGCGCGCTCCACTCTTTGCACACCTCAGCCAATAAACTCAGGCACAGGCCCGAAACTTCACCTGCCGGAAGGTCTTGCACTAAGTTCGGTCTCGGGAAGTTGGACAGGTTTATCTAAAACCACAGGCTTCGGGACAGGCGTAAAGCAGAGCTTCCCACGAAATCGGCTAAGGCTCAGGGTTTACCACGGGTTTAAGTTTTGGGGTTGACTTCCGACTTCCCTAATGGGTGGGAACAGGAGTTGGGGTTTACGAATTAGCGTTGATGGTTAGTTGGGTTTACAGTAAAGAGTTGGAGCGTATGGTTGAGATCTTAGAGCGTACAGACATACATGCACATACTGGGGTTGAAACGATGCTGCAACGTAGGTACTGTGTATTTACTCTACCCTAATTAAACTAGGTATTGTCTGTCTATTTGGAGCCTTGCAAATAGACTGTTGGACACTTCAGGTCTGGAGCTTTCGGGTTCTGGGATCTGAGGGCTTTGGGTTGAAGAGTCAAGCTTGTCCATGCTGTCCGTCTCCCATAAACCTCGCGGGCACAAGGAACTGCCTGAGCAGTGCCTGAATATCTAGTACCTGCTGTGCGGTTTTGACTGTTGCATCCCCGACCGGAAACTCCACATTATGGACAGAGTAACACATCTTCACTGAAGAGAAAACTCACGCAAACAAAATTGAAATCATAAATCATACTGGCCTACAGAGCCCATTACTTCTTAGGCTCAAAGTTTGTGTGTGTGTGTGTAGGTGTATATATATATATACATATACATATGTATATGTATAGAGGTCTTATCCAACCTCACAACCGAAAAGATGATCCTCATCAACATAGTCAGAATAGCCTCGCCGAAATCTCCAGCGGAACCCGAAAGGTCCCGAGCAAGCGACTGCGCTGCCTCTCGCCGCAATCTGCCTCCGGCAGATGCGCCGTGGTCCGGATCCTCTGGCACCACCTCGCAGTCGAACAGTGTCTGGGGCTTAAGGCTTCCAGCTAGGGGACGAGACATCTTCAGAATCTTCAGGGCTGGGGAGAGAAATCTGAACAGTCAACACTTAAAGCTTTAACAAGACATGGATCTGCATGAACTGACAGTCGACGGCCGGGCGGCTTGCAGACAGCATCTCAGAATCAAGCGCATCCCTCCACTTCACACATCTTCCATCATCTTCCTGCTCCTCGCCCTCTTCCTCCTCATCATCCCAATCTTTATGCTCACAGTTGAAAAGATGATCCTCATCAACATAATCAGATCAGCCGAGGAAAGCCGGAATCTCCAGCGAAACCCGAAAGGTCCCGAGCAAGCGCCTGCGCTGGCTCTGGCCGGATTACCGGATCCCCTGGCACCACCTCGCAGTCGAACAGTGTCTGGGGCTTAACGCTTCCAGCTTGGGGATGAGATATGTTTTGCAGACATCTTCAGGGCTTTGGCAGAAATCTGGCTTTCTAGTAGGCTCTGCATACAGCACGATGCAGTCACAGCAACACTTTTGCACCATGCGTGGCGTGGCCTGTCGATCATAACCATCGTGACTGCAGTTTTGCGGCTGCGGTGGCTGTGATGTGAGTGCCAAGCTGACTCCGACTAGCTCAATATCGGTAGAGTTGTCTTGATTATGATGGTTCTGCTTTTCGGTGTTAATGCAGTAGAGGAAGTGCCAAGATCTGTAGGAGCAGCACTGATGGTGATGCAACAGTGTCAGTTGCAACCTGACGGGTAGCAGCAATTCCGGTGAGAGAAGTGTGAGCGGTACTTTGTGTGTGACTACCATGCGAACACCTGCAAGCATCAGGGATCTTCAACTAGATGACAGCTGGGTCTTAGAAGCGTGCCTATTCATAAACGCGTCTGGGCGGCCCCAAAACGAACAACCCTGTCAAGCGCAGAACCGAAGATGATCAATATGTCAATATCCCAGGTATAGCCTGATAGAAACCCTATAGAAAGAAGCCAAAACGGGACAAAGATGATGTGGGAGGTGATGGACTCCCACCTCCCGGAGCAAAGGCGTCTCCAGTAGCTGGTCAGCGGAAGCATCACCGGCCTGCTGCAACACCGCTGAAAGCGCGGGGGCTTTCGGATTCGTAGGACCTTACCTGCACCACTAAGCACCATTGATGCAGTTACGAACCTCTTGAGTCGATAAGTTCCAAGACCCTTTGGTTTCAGGAGGATGCTTGCAATCATATCAAGGTTCCTCTGCAATTTGCCTGAGACCCTACACCCCAGACCCTAAACGCTAAATCCTAAACCCCAAACCTTACTCAAACCCTAAACCCTAAACCCTAAGCCACCCCCAAACCCTAGGAGATGTATTCCGTAGTTCGGCTCTCGTAGTTTTGCAAATGCGTGGGGTGAGCGCCGTACGCGCTGACCTCCCAAAGGAGCCGTTTTTCCACGGGGCCGCGGAGCGCTGTTGTCCTATAGGCTACAGGATTTTGGGGCTTTTAGGGGTTTTCGGTTCAGGGTGTAGGTATTAGGAGCTTCTGGGGTTTACGGGGGTTGAGGGTTTATAGGGTTTGGGTATTAGGAGCTTTTAGGGTTTAGGGTTTGGGGTGTTTAGGGGTTTAGTAGTCGCCCCTGAAAACGAAGTTTCCAACGAGTACGAGGGAGAGCTTCAAAACTAGAAGTCAAACAGTCAACACTTAAAGCTTTAACAACACATGGATCTGCATGAACTGACAGTCGACGGCCGGGCGGCTTGCGAACAGCATCTCAGAATCAAGCCCATCCCTCCACTTCACACATCTTCCATCATCTTCCTGCTCCTCGCAGTTCATCATCATCCCCATCCTTTTGCTCACAGTTGAAAAGATGATGCTGATCAACATAGTCGGATCAGTCGAGAAAAGCCGGGATCTCCCAGCGAAACCCGAAAGGTCCCGAGCAAGAGCCTGCGGTGCCTCTGGCCGGATTCCCGGATGCAGCACCTCGCAGTCGAACAGTGTCTGGGGCTTATAGGGGACGAGACATCTTATGCAGACATGTGACATGTGACAGAAGTCTGCCTTTCTAGTAGGCTCTGGATACAGCACGATGCAGTCACAGCAACACTTTTGCACCATGTGTGGCGTGGCCTGTCGATCATCACCATCGTGACTGCAGTCTTGAGGCTGCGATGGCTGTGATGTGAGTGCCAAGCTGACTCCGACTAGCTCAATATCGGTAGAGTTGTCTTGATTATGATGGTTCTGCTTTTCGGTGTTAATGCAGTAGAGGAAGTGCCAAGATCTGTAGGAGCAGCACTGATGGTGATGCAACAGTGTCAGTTGCAACCTGACGGGTAGCAGCAATTCCGGTGAGAGAAGTGTGAGCGGTACTTTGTGTGTGACTACCATGCGAACACCTGCAAGCATCAGGGATGTTCAACTAGATGACATCTGGGTCTTAGAAGCGTGCCTATTCATAAACGCGTCTGGGCGGCCCCAACAAGAACAACCCCGTCAAGCCCAGAACCGAGCATGATCAATAAGTCAATATCCCGGTATAGCCCCCCGCATATGATCACACGGTACGAAACCCCGTCAAGCCTATTCTTCCGGTACTTCAATGGGCAGTGTTCGAACTTAAGGTGCCTATTTCGAAGGCAATCATAGTACCTAGCCATAAAGAACCCTTAGAGTACCCTGATAGAAACCCCTATAGAAACCTTGCTAGATCCGTTTATAAAGAAGCCAAAACGGGACAGAGATGAAGTGGGAGGTGATGGACTCCCACCTCGCGGAGCAAAGGCGTCTCCGGTAGCTGGACACCGGAAGTCTCAGGGGCCTGCTGCGACACCGCTGAAAGCACGGGGGCTTTCGTAGGACCTTACCTGCACCACTAATCACCATCGATGCAGTTACGAACCCGTTGGAGTCGACAAGTTCCAACACCCGTTGCTTTCAGGAACATGCTCGCAATCATATCAAGGTTCCCGCACAATTTGCCTGAAACCATAAATCCCTAAACCCCAAACCCTAAACCCTAAACCCCTAAACCTCAAATCCTAGGGGATACATTCCCTAGTTCGGCTCTCCGGCGAGCGCCGTACCGGCTGACCTTTGCAAGGAGCGGTTTTTCCCAACGGGGCCGCGGGGGGCTGTTGTCCTATAGGCTATAGGGATTAGCAGCTTTTGGGGTTTAGGGTTTAGGGGTTTTCGGTTTTGGGTGTAGGTATTAGGAGCTTTTGGAGTTTAGGGGGGTTTAGGGTTTATAGGGTTTGGGTTTTGCGAACCTTTGGGGTTTGGGGTGTGGGGTGCGAAGTTGGGCCACAGCTCGGCTTCTGGGGTATTAGGACGGCTAAGGCTCGGAGTAATGTGGCCCCTGAAAGCGAAGTTTCCAACGAGTATGAGGGAGAGCTTCAAAACTAGAAGTCAAACAGTCAACACTTAAAGCTTTAACAAGACATGGATCTGCATGAACTGACAATCGACGGCCGGGTGGCTTGCGAACAGCATCTCAGAATCAAGCCCATCCCTCCACTTCACACATCTTCCTTTGCTGCTCCTCGCCCACCTCCTCATATCATCCCCATCCTTATGCTAACAGTTGAAAAGATGATCCTCAGATCAGCCGAGCAAAGCCGGGATCTCCCAGCGAAACCCGAAAGGT